TAGCAGCCCCCGAAGAGTGGTCACCTTCGGGGTGGGGGAGAAGGTCTGGAAGAAGTCAACTCCCTCTCGCTGACTGAAGCCTCGAGCAACGTAACGAGCCTTGAAGACAGGCGGAGAACCCGGCGGCCGCTTCACCCTGAAAATCCACATGCCATCGACGATGTTCGCCCCGGGGGGGGGACCTTATCGACATAAGTGCCTATGGACTTCCAGGATGCCATCTCTGCGTCCATGGCTGCCTGCCACTAAGAGGAGTACTCACCCGCGATCGCCTCAGCGTAAGAGCGCGGGGTCGGGATGTCTACAGCATCCGGGGCCACGAGATGAGGCGCAGCGGCTGCAAGACACGTAAGGTCCTCGTGTCTGTCCTCAAGGACGTCCGTGCCAAGAGCACACTCACCCCCAACGGACGGAGGACAGACAGACTCAGACTCAGTGACAAGACTAGCGGCGTAGTCTATACGACAGGCAGCAGCAAAGTCAACAAGCTGTGCGACTAAGGCAGACCCAGCAGCAGACTCAAACGACGGGTCAGTGACAACAGTGGCTAACAGACGCGTGACAGTAGGGTGTGCAGCACGAAACCGGTCAGACGCAGGGTCTGGAACGTCAGGCAGAGAGGACGCAGGAGGAGACGGCAGAGGAACACGCTGCGGAGCAGAGGAAGGACGAAGGGCGACGAGGTGCGCGCCGGGGACAACCGGCTGACGTTGACGTGGAACACGACGACCGGTACGACGAGGACGAACAGGCGAGACAGGACGCGACGCAGGCTCACGACGCTCAGCAAGACCTCCTGTCTGCTCAGTGTAAGGAGAAGGAGCAGGCAGCGGGGAGCCAGGCTGTAACGGAAGACCAGTAGAAGACGGGAGACTAAGAACCTGGCGAAGCACAGAGTCAGGCGGTGGCTGAGACGACGGAGACGGCGGAGCGAAGAACAGTTGTGTCCGTGCAGTGCCACCAGCACCAGCAGCTCCAGCACCTCCAGCAGCTCTAGTACCCTCAGTAGCTCCAGCACCTCCAGCAGCTCCAGTACCTCCAGCAGCAGCACCCCAAGCAGCTCTTGAACCTCCAGCGCCAGTACCTCTAGGACCAGCTCCACCAGCAGCAGCACCCCCAGAACCGGCACCTCCAGTCCCAGGGTCTCCAGCCTCAGTGTCTCCAGCAGCAGCACCCCCAGACGCAGCACCTCCAACCTCAGCAGCTCCAGTACCTCCAGTATGAGCACCTCCAGGACCAGCGACTCCAGCACCTCCAGTAGACAAAGTACCAGCACCACTCCTAGCTCCAGCGACGTCAGCAGAAGCACCTCCAGTGGCAGGGCCCCAAGCTCCAGCAGCGCGACCCTGACGACGACCGTACCACTCGTGCAGCTGCTGTGAGGTGAGAGGCACACGCGGACGAAGGCGGCCACTCCAAGGAGACCGCACACTAGAAGTCGCAGTACCCTCAGGCGCCGCACCCCCAGACTCAGCACCCCCAGGCTCATCACACTCAGGCTCAGCACCCCCAGACGCAGCACCCCCGGGCGCATTACCTCCAGTCTCCTCACGCTTAGGCTCAACACCCTCAAGCTCCTCACGCTCAGACTCAGCACCCTCAGACTTGGCACCCCCAGGCTCAGCACCCCCAGCCTCAGTATCCCCAGGCTCCTCACGCTCAGGCACAGCACCCCCAGACTCCGCACCCCCAGGCTCAGCACCCCCAGGCTCCTCTCGCTCAGGCTCCGTACCCCCAGGCTCAGCACCCCCAGAAACAGTACCCCGAGCAGGACCACCCCCAGCAGGACCTGAGTCACCAGTGACCTCAACAGGCGCAGGTACGGGAGGGTCTACCTGAGAAACACCTGAAGGAGCAGGACCTGGCGCGGGGAGGGGGTCTACCTGGGAAGGACCTGGAGCGAGAAAGAGCGGCGGGGGGGGGGGGGGGGGGGGGGCGGGCGAGGGACAGTGCGGTAGGGAAAGAGACGGTAAAAGGGGACTGACTCGTCAAAAGTGACGTCCTGAGACGCAAAGACACGGCGCGAGGTGGGTCGCAAAACTGCCAGTCAGGCGCGTCAGGAGGAAAACCAAGGAAGACGCAGGGAATGGCATGGTGCAGTCGTGAAAGAAATAGGGGGAAGCACCAGAGTCAAGTGTAAACGTGTGCAAGGCCTAAGCGACGCAGTACCGGGGGGAGCAGACTCACTAGCACCTAGGGCTGCAGCACCTATAGCTGGATCATGCGGCATACACAAGTAGCAGTCACCCTCAGCACTAACAGTCAATGCATACATGGCAGCAAGAATAGCATCATAGTCAAGATCAAAGATAGGAACACCACGCCTAAGCAGGTCTGCCCAGTTGGGCAACTCAGTAGCCGCAGGAAACTTGACGCGCCAGGCGTCGCTAAGCCGAGCAAAGCAGCGATACTCAGTGTGAAGACCATTGCATGGGCGACCAGCGCGGGGACCTGCGCGAATGATATAGGGGCAGTGACCAGGACCCCCAGACGCCCCACGCCCGGCATACCAGTCATGGAGCTGCTGAGACGTGGGGGCCTGGCGCTGTCGCTGCTGCTGCTGCTGCTGCTGCGGCTGCTGCTGCTGCTGCTGCTGCTACGGCTGCTGCTGCTGCTACTGCTGCTGCTGCTGCTGCTGCTGCTACTGCTGCTGCTGTCCCTGGCCACCACTGCTGCCACCACCACTGGCTCCTCCCCCACTACCGCCGCTGCCACCGCCACTGCTCCCGGTACCACCGCCGCCCCCACCACCACCGCCACCACCCCGACCACCCCCACCTCCTCCACCTCCCCCGTCACCACCACCACCGCCCCCTCCACCGCCACCTCCACCTCCCCTGCCAGCCCCTCTGCCCCTGGCGCTGCGGCGCTTCCCACTAGGAGCGGAAGCAGCCCCGACCTCCTCAGCACCAAGGAAGTCGACAGCAGCAGCAGCAGAGGCGTAGGAGGGGGCAAGGGGGGAGGGGGAGCACCCCTCAAAGAGGGGAGTGCGAGGAGTGCCACGAGCCGCACCTACAGCATGGATGTTCTTCTCAGCTGCGAGGAGGTGCGTCTCGAAGTCGTCGACGGTGAGAGCGGTAGGGTCTAGAGCGAGAAAGTGGTCCCTGACTGAGCGAAGAGTGTCAGGGAGGCGGGTGACGAGGAAGTAGAGCGTAAAGTACATCGGAGGGGTGTTCTTGGCGAGGAACTCGTCCTTAAGGGCGGAACAAAAGCGAGTGTCAATAGCGCGCAGGTGAGAGATGAGGTCCTCAGCAGTGTGAAACGAGGACAGGTCGGAGAACATGTAGGGTAGCATGAGACGACCTAGGGCTGCAGTGGCCGGGGAGGAGTAGCGCGCAACTACAGCGTCATACAGTGCCTTAGCAGTCTTGTGCTGGCTAAAATGCGCGCGCTCAGTGATCGGCAGATGATTGCGAATAGCGAGGCGCGCAGCAGCATCGCGAGTCTGCCACTGTGAGCGGTCGAGAGCAGGAGCATCGTCAGCAGGAGCAACGGCAGTGCCAGACGTGTGATCGAACAGTGAAACGCCATCTTTGGCATCAGTCATAAGAAACAGTTGGAGGTCGTCGAGCCACGTGGTGAACTCTATCGGGCGACCGTCAGGCTCAAACGCGAGAACATTAAGCGTTGCTATCGCAGTGCAGGCAAAGGCAGTAGGCGAAGACAGCAGGCAGAAGCAGCAGGCAAAGGCAGCAGACACAGGCAGCAGACAAAGGCAGCTGGTTCAGGCAGCAGGCAAAGGCGGCGCGAAGAGCAGCAGTAGACCGCACGCAGGCTGCGGAGGCGCGGCGCGAGCAGGTAGGGCGGCGCGCGGGGCTGCAGCGGGCCGCGCGCGGGCTGCTAAGGCGCGGCGCGGGCTGCTCGGGCGGTGCGCGGGGCAGCAGCGGGCCGCGCGCGGGCTGCGCGGGCTCGGCGCGGGCTGCGCGTGCTGTGTGCGGGGCAGCTGCAAGTCGCGCGCGGGCTGTGCAGGCTCGACGCGGACTGTGCAGGCTTGGCACGGGCTGTGCAGGCGGCGCGCGAGGCCGCAATGGCCTGCGCGGGCTGCAGCGGCCTGCGCGGGCTGCGAACGCGGCGCGTGGGGCAGCAGCGAGCCGCGCACGGGCTGTCGAGGCGCGACGCGGGCAGCGAGGGCGACGCGCGGGGCAAAAAACGGGCTGCGCGCGGGAATTAGGTTTGCGCGCTCTAAGCAGCAGCAGACAGCGCAGACAGCAGACAGCAGACAGCGCGGAAAGCAGACAGCAGACAGACGGCGCGCGCAGCGCAGCACGTCACAGGCACAGTCACAGTCACAGTCACAGTCTTGGGGTAGCGGTAGGTGTGCCCGAAAAAAAAGACGGTCCTATGGACCTACTGCTCTGAAACCATGTCAGAAACTAGAGACAGGAATGATTGAACTAGATCAAAGTTGGGCACAAATATGAAACCCTAAAAGTTATGTACCCCATATTGACTACCCCACTACAGCCTACACAAATATAGCCTATATAGTTTGACATGCGCCACCCTTACAAAAAGACCAACTTCCGCGAACTTGCCTTATGAGTAAGAGCGCCTCCAATCTGATGAAACTGATGAAAAAGGTTTAGTAAAACTACGGTACTTGAAACAAAAAAAAAAAAAATTATTCAAAATACCACAATAAAGCCTTCTGCCCACATAAGCCCCCCATACGGTAGGTGCATTTATTTGGCGGGCTGTATATACGGGGGAATACGGTTTACTTTTTCACCTAGCACTGACTGGGAGTCGACTTAGTTGGGGGAGCAGTGGAGAATGAGTGTGCCCTGAATCCAATCTGAGGGCATGCGGTGGCAGTGACAGGCCTTTCGGGCAACAGCAGCAGTGGGGTGGAGCAGTGGGGTGAAGAAGTGGGGTGCAGAAGTGGGGTGCAGCAGTGGGGTGGAGCAGTGAGGTGCAGCAGTGGGGTGCAGAAGTGGGGTGCAGCAGTGGGGTGGAGCAGTGGGGTGCAGTAGTGCCGCATTTCACTCGCCGTCCCCCATTCACTCCACCAGCACCTCTCCGTGCCGTGGCCCCTTCCCCTCCTCCAGCCCCCCCTGCTGCACTCCCACTGCGCCCGGTGCAGCCGCCCCCAGCAGCGCATGCAGGGGGGAGGCAGGCGGCGGGCAGTAGGGCGTGGGGGGCAGGGGGGCAGGGTCAAAGACTGGCAGCAAGTAGGTGGCGTGGGCACACGTGTTGGCCTGGGGCGGGTGGGGGCGAGGAGGGGCATGACGAGCAGAGGGAGGTGGGTGGGATGGAGGGGGATTTTGGGAAGTGGAGAGGAAAGAGTGAGAACAGATAATAAATGTGATGCAAGACTTGCACACTGGGATTTCAGTACATATGGGGATGTGAGCACATATGGGGATGTGAGCACATATGGGGATGTGAGCACATATGGGGATGTGAGCACGCATGGGTATATGAGCATGCTTCATCCCACACACACAGCCCTAGCAGGCTGAGCCTGTCGGCATGCACCACTCACCTCGGCATGCACCACTCACCTCGGCATGCACCACTCACCTCGGCATGCACCACTCACCTCGGCATGCAGCACTCACCTCGGCATGGAGCATGTCGAGCAGCACGGGAGGGATGGGGTCGGGGTGGGACGGCTGCTCCACGCACATGCTCACCACACGCTGCAGCAGCGGCGCCGGGATGGTGGCGTACACCTGCATGGGCGGGCATGGCGGGCGACATGCATGCCATGGCGACAGTGGGAAGCACACGAGGCACAGTCAGGCGCACATGCCATAGATGGCACAGCGTACAGGTCGCACGATGCAAGTACCCTGTCACTGACTCCCCTCCCACTGCTTATTCCTATCTCCCCTCTCTCTCCTCACAACTCCCACACCCCTCTCATTTCTCCCTCCCCTCGCGCTGCGCTCCCCTCCCATGTTGGTCCCCTGTCCCCCGCACCTGGCGCCGCACGGGGCGGTCGCAGAGGGCCTGTTTGGGCAGCAGCAGCACGTGCGCCAGCGCGTGCAGCAGGGGGAAGCACTCCGCCCGCTCGCCTATCAGCTGCTGCACCATGCCTTGCCCCTCCCCCTCCTCCCCCTCGCGCCCTCCCATTAGCAGCAGTGCAGCCGGGTCGTGCCTCTGACCCGTGCCCCCTTCACCCCCAGCAGTGCCGCGCACTGGTGCACCTCCCATCGCATCACCGCCTGTCACAGCTCTCCACCCCTCTCCCTGCTCCACCAGTCCATTTCCACGTCCTTGCTTTTCTGCCCCGCCCTGCCCCTCTGCGCCCTCCGGCCAATCAAAGAGCTCCAGCTGGCCCGCCCAGAAGCGAGCGGAGGAGAGCGGCACGGTGGGCGGGGGCAGGATGGGCGATGGGGGGGGAGAGTGGGCGGCTCCGGGATGTGCGGCGGGTGCAGCGGCGGCATGCCATTGCGAGGCGACGTGGGCGTCCATGTCCGCCAGGAAGTCACTCCACTCCGACACCTGGTGCCGTGCCGTGGGGTGCGGTGGGGTGGGGTTGTGGAGAGGGAGAGGGAGAGGGAGAGGGAGAGGGAGAGGGAGAGGGCACAGGCATGGCAGAGAGGGGGGGAAACAAATTGAGGACATATGAAGATACTCGGGCAGTGGCATCGAGGGATGGGTCACGTGGGGCAATCCCCCCTTGCAGATTTTTCAGTCACCCCCCAGATAAATTGCCCAGCAGGCAGATCGTCCTCCCATGCCATGCCCCTTACAGTGTGTTTCAGCAGCCCGCCTTGGGCGGCCCAGAAGCGGCCATTGGCGGGGAAGGGCAGGGCGGCAGGGTCGGTGAGAGGGTCGGCGGCAGGGTCGGTGGAGAGCACGTCATTGCCCGACCGCAGCAGCGCGTTGAAGAGTGCCGCGTCCAGACGCTGCTGGCAGTGCTGCAGTACCTGCGAGGGGGTGAGGGGCGAGGGAGTGGGTGAACGGAGGGGTGTATGAGGGGGAAGCAGGGAAAGGGATGGGAAGCCAGCGATGAGGAGTTGAAAAAAGACGTGTGAAGCTGCTGGGTGGCGTGATGTCAAAGCGGAGGTCGAAGGGACAGGGGGGCGGGGCCGAGGGGACGAGGGGGAGAAAGACACGAGGGGAAAGAAAGCAGTTGAGGGTATATATGAAATAGGATGACGGGTAATGGGATACGGAAAGGAGTGGAACGGAGTGCTTGAAAAGCGGGTAGAGGCAGCACTGCCCTGCTTGAAAAGCGGGTAGAGACAGCACTGACCTGCTTGAAAAGCGGGTAGAGACAGCACTGACCTGCTTGAAAAGCAGGCAGAGGCAGAACTGACCTGCTTGAAAAGCGGGTAGAGGCAGAACTGACCTGCTTGAAAAGCGGGTAGAGGCAGAACTGACCTGCTTGAAAAGCGGGTAGAGGCAGAACTGACCTGCTTGAAAAGCGGGTAGAGGCAGCACTGACCTGCTTGAAAAGCGGGTAGAGGCAGCCGCAGTGGTGACCCATGGCCCTGTGCGGGCACAGCATTGCAGCCGCCTCGTGCTGCACCGCCACCCACCGCTCTGTACCACTCAGCCCCGCCCACCAGGGCGCTTGCACTTCCTCCGCTGCACATTGTGGGGGAGTGAGTGAGGGAGAGAGAGGCAGAAACAGAGGAGAGAGAGAGCGGGGAAGAAAGGGGGGAGAGGGAGAGAGGGGCAGAAGGAGGGGAGAGGGAGAGAAGGGAAGAAAGGAGGGGAGAGGGAGAGAGGGGGCGGGGGGGAAAAGGGAAAGGGGCGGCAGAGTGGGGGAATGAGGACAAGCAGGTGAGACGAGGGCACCAACTCAGCACTGAGAGGCTCGGGAGGAAAGGGCCCCAGCAAAAGGAGAGGCAGCTTGAGGTGAAGAGAGAAGGAAGGGCGAGTCACCTCTGAGTGGCGGCGGCGGCGGTGGCGGGGCAGAGAAGGGCCAGAGGGAGTGCTGGGAGGCGGAGGCGGCACAGAGGAGCGCGGAGGACCAGGAGGGGGTGAAGGGGGGGGTGTGTGATGGCGGGTGGAAGGGAGGCGGCAGCACAGGAGGGCGCTGCTGCATGGCTGGCAGGAAGACACGTGTCCACACAAGGTGCAGACACCTGTGGTGCTGCCATTGCTCGAGGTGCAGCAGGTGCGAGTGAAGGTGCGCCAAGGTGCCCCAGGCGTCATCAGAGTGCTCTGGGCAGGCGTGGTCAGAGTGCTCTGGGCAGGCGTGGTCAGAGTGCTCTCGGCAGGCGTGGTCAGAGTGCTCTCGGCAGGCGTGGTCAGAGTGCTCTCGGCAGGCGTGGTCAGAGTGCTCTCGGCAGGCGTGGTCAGAGTGCTCTCGGCAGGCGTGGTCAGAGTGCTCTCGGCAGGCGTGGTCAGAGTGCTCTCGGCAGGCGTGGTCAGAGTGCTCTCGGCAGGCGTGGTCAGAGTGCTCTCGGCAGGCGTGGTCAGAGTGCTCTCGGCAGGCGTGGTCAGAGTGCTCTCGGCAGGCGTGGTCAGAGTGCTCTCGGCAGGCGTGGTCAGAGTGCTCTCGGCAGGCATGGTCAGAGTGCTCTCGGCAGGCGTGGTCAGAGTGCTCTCGGCAGGCGTGGTCAGAGTGCTCTCGGCAGGCGTGGTCAGAGTGCTCTCGGCAGGCGTGGTCAGAGTGCTCTCGGCAGGCGTGGTCAGAGTGCTCTCGGCAGGCATGGTCAGAGTGCTCTCGGCAGGCGTGGTCAGAGTGCTCTCGGCAGGCGTGGTCAGAGTGCTCTCGGCAGGCGTGGTCAGAGTGCTCTCGGCAGGCGTGGTCAGAGTGCTCTCGGCAGGCGTGGTCAGAGTGCTCTCGGCAGGCGTGGTCAGAGTGCTCTCGGCAGGCGTGGTCAGAGTGCTCTCGGCAGGCGTGGTCAGAGTGCTCTCGGCAGGCATGGTCAGAGTGCTCTCGGCAGGCGTGGTCAGAGTGCTCTCGGCAGGCGTGGTCAGAGTGCTCTCGGCAGGCGTGGTCAGAGTGCTCTCGGCAGGCGTGGTCAGAGTGCTCTCGGCAGGCGTGGTCAGAGTGCTCTCGGCAGGCGTGGTCAGAGGGCTCTCGGCAGGCGTGGTCAGAGTGCTCTCGGCAGGCGTGGTCAGAGTGCTCTCGGCAGGCGTGGTCAGAGTGCTCTCGGCAGGCGTGGTCAGAGTGCTCTCGGCAGGCGTGGTCAGAGTGCTCTCGGCAGGCATGGTCAGAGTGCTCTCGGCAGGCGTGGTCAGAGTGCTCTCGGCAGGCGTGGTCAGAGTGCTCTCGGCAGGCGTGGTCAGAGTGCTCTCGGCAGGCGTGGTCAGAGTGCTCTCGGCAGGCGTGGTCAGAGTGCTCTCGGCAGGCGTGGTCAGAGGGCTCTCGGCAGGCGTGGTCAGAGTGCTCTCGGCAGGCGTGGTCAGAGTGCTCTCGGCAGGCGTGGTCAGAGTGCTCTCGGCAGGCGTGGTCAGAGTGCTCTCGGCAGGCGTGGTCAGAGTGCTCTCGGCAGGCGTGGTCAGAGTGCTCTCGGCAGGCGTGGTCAGAGTGCTCTCGGCAGGCGTGGTCAGAGTGCTCTCGGCAGGCGTGGTCAGAGTGCTCTCGGCAGGCGTGGTCAGAGTGCTCTCGGCAGGCGTGGTCAGAGTGCTCTCGGCAGGCGTGGTCAGAGTGCTCTCGGCAGGCGTGGTCAGAGTGCTCTGGGCAGGCGTGGTCAGAGTGCTCTGGGCAGGCGTGGTCAGAGTGCTCTGGGCAGGCGTGGTCAGAGTGCTCTGGGCAGGCGTGGTTAGGCGGCTCTGAGTGCTCCCCGCGGCCGTCATCACCTGCGCCGGGCCACCATGCACCACCACCATTCGCACCACCACCACCATTCCTAACGCCACCACTCTTCTCCCCCACACCGCTGCCCCCAGTGGCCTCGACATCACATGTGCTCACCCCACCCTTCCTCCCGCCCGCCCCTCCCCTGCTCCGCTCCTCCGCCAGCAGGGGCGTCAGGGCGGAGCGCAGCAGGGCCGTGTTGGACCACCAGAACAGCACCCGCGATGGGTTGTTGCCCGCCGCCCGCGATGCCAGCAGCAGCGCTCGCATCACTTCTCTCGCCACGCCTGCCACCTGCTCACGCCCCAACCCCTGCTCCCTGCCCTCAGCGCCTCGTTGCTCCCTCAGCTTCCCCTTTCCCATCGCTGCCCCTTCCCTGACTGCACTCCACCCTTGCCACGCATCCCCCTCTCCCTCCTCCCCTCCCCTGTGCCCGCTCTTTTCTCGTCCCTCAGCCCTCTCCCCCATTCCATCGCACTCCTTCCCCTCCACCCCTGCGCCCTCCCCCGTCCCGCCCCGCCACGCCACGGCCACCACGTGTGCGAGGCGCAGGGCGGGGGCGTGCAGGCGCAGCACGGCCGACCCATGCCGCCCCGCCACGCCGTGCACCGCGCGCGCCACGCCACTCGCGCTCCGCACCTCCCACGGCATCTTCCCGAACCTCCTCTCCGCCGCCTGCGCCCGCTCCTCAGCCTCGGCAGCCCGAGCCAGAGCGCCAGCCACGGAGGCGCGGTCGTGAGCGAGGCGCTGCTTGGTGGCGGCGAGGAGGTGGGCGGCGGAGGCGAGGTGCAGGCGCAGGGCGTGTGTGTGCGCCGCCACGTGCGCCGTCGCCGTGGCAGCAGCGCTGGCGTGCGCTCGCAGGGCGGCCGTGGCGGCGTCCTGCGCGGCGATGCGGTGCTGCCGGGCGCGAAGGCGCGCCTCAAAGGGCGCCAGGCGCTGCTTCTCCGCCTCCACGCGCTGCCTCTCCTCGGCCAGGCGCTGCTGCTCGTGGTGCGCCCAGTGCTTGAAGCGCGCCACCTCGCGCTGCACGCGCTGCACCTCGCCCCTCTCCTGCTCCACCAGCTGTCTCTCCTTCCTCACCCGCCTCCACTCCATGCGCACGCGTGCCGCCTCCTCGCCCTGCCCATCGCCATCGCCATTGCTCTCTGACTCCTCGCTGCCGTCCCCATCTTCTCCTCCGCCATCCTCCGCACCACCTTTTCCCATCTTCTCCGCGTCACCTCCACTTGCATAGTCGCCACTGCCCCCCTCTGCCCCTCCGCCTTCCCGCTCCACCACCTCCCTCGCCACAGCCAGCACACTGAACCTCTTCCGCCGCCGCCCACCACGGCCACCAGCACCTGCCCCGCCGCCTGTTACTCTGGGCGTGCTGCCGGCGCCCAGCAGGCTGTCATCGACGCCCTCCACCTCATCAAGCCGCCCTGAGCTGTACGGCCCCGGCACGCGCCGCAGCGCTGCCAGCACCTCGCGCGCCGTCAGAGCGGAATGGCTGCCCACGGCCCCCCCTGCTGCTGCCGCTGCGGCTGCTGACGCCCCCCCTGCATGCACGGCGCGTGGCAGCAGCCCGCGGTGCCCCACTGATGTGAACGCGCGCACGCCCCTCCCCCCTCTCCCCCTCTCTGCACTGCGCGGCCTCTCAGCGCTGTCTGCACCACCGCTGCGCTCGTCCCAGTCGGGCGGGAGCATGAAGGGGCGGCGCGCACACGCAAAGCCCAGCGCGCGCGCAGAGGGCGGGGGGAGGGGCGAGCGCGGCGCTGAGAGGGTGCCGGGGGAGGGCGGAGCGACGAGGGGGAAGGCCGTGGCGGAGGGGCGCGGGGTGTGTGGGTCTGAGAGCGAGCGGTGCAGGGGAGGAGGCGAGGGGGGGTGCTGGTGTGGGGGAGGGAGGGCAGAGGTTGGGTGTATGACAGAGGAGTGAGAAGGGGGAGAGACTGAGACAGCAGCTGTTGCAGAAGGAGCGGGTGCCACAGTTGGCGGCAATTGGGTCTCTTCAACCCCGGCATGCCCCTGCCTGCCCACATCGCTGCTCGCCCCCCTGCCTGCCTGCTCTGCTGCAGGAAGTGGCGGCGCCAGCAGCACCCGCAGCTTGCTCCTCAGCTCCGCCACCGCTGCTGCCTGCTGTGCGCCACGTGGCGCGTGCTCATTGGATAGAGATGCAGGGGACCCTGCTGACATGGCAGGCGACCCAGCTGACGTCACAGGAGAGCCAGCTGACAAGGCAGGGGAAGCGGAGGCGAGGGCAGTGGGAGCAAGGTGCAGAAGAGGCAGAGCGCGAGGGAAGGCGAGAGGGAGTGCTGGGTCATGGGGCAGCGCAGAGGGGACGGGCATGTGAGCGCCGGCAGTGCCTGCCCCTGCTGCTGCTCCACCTCCTGCACGCGGTGCTGCTGCCACGTGCTCTGCACTCCCCCCCATGCTCCCCACCCCTACCCGGGGCGAGTGCTCTGTGTGTGCGGGCAGGCAGGGCGCATCATGCGACCCACACCTCCTGAAGGCAGCAGCTGCACCACTGGTGGCGGGTGTGGTGTGAATGCTGCCCGTGCTGGCAGCCCGTGGCATCTCCACCATGCTCGCCACGTCAGCCTGTGGTGCCACCACACCCACTGACTGCTGCACTGCCGCAGCTGTTGCTGCTGCTGCTTCCCCTCCTTCCACTGCCTGCCTCATGCCCTTGTTGCCCTGCCGCTTCCTCCCACTGTCACCTTCTGCGCTGGCAGAAGGGGCAGCAGGAGGGGCAGGCGAGGAGGTGGAGGGGCGGGGCAGCATGGCCAGGGCGACAGCAGCAACGGGATTTATGGGGCGGGAGGACGAGGAGAGTGGAGACCGGTGCAGAGCGGTGGAGGAATCTGGCGACCCTACCGTGGAAGTGTGGGCGAGTCTGAGTGCGGCAAACTCCCCCCCCGCCAGCGAGTGCGGGCGCCGGCTGTGCGCTGCCTTGCGCGCCCTCTGGGGAGGGGGAGGGGTGCGGAGAAGGGAGAGGGAGGGGAGGGGGGAGGGTGGGGAAGTGGTAGGGTGAGACGATGGCGAGCGAGAGGGGGAGAGGGGGAAGCAGGATGCAAGAGTGGCGATAATGGGGAGAGACGGGCATGGAGTGTGCTGTGGTGTTGGCATGGAGATGCCACCCGCCCTGCATGCCACCCGCCTTGCAAGCCAGCACCACACCATTCATTCCTTTAGTAAACTCCCCTTGCCTCCACCTCCCCCTCGCCCACCCTTATACCCCATTTCCCTCAACCCTGCCCCCTGTTGTCACACTTAACCCCACCCTTCCCCCTGTTTCCCACCAATTTCACTCCGCTCCCCACTCCCTCCCTTCCCTCCCCCCCTCCCCAGCCATGTGCCACTCACCAGCAGGTCGCGGTGGGAGGGGGGGCGCGAGGCAGGAGGGGACGACGCAGTGGGCGGGGGTTGGCCAGGAGGGAAAGCCGCAGAGGCAGAGGCAGGAGGGGGAGGAGCAGCGGCGGGGGGGAAATGGGCAGTGGTACTGCAGGGAGGCGGAGCGACGGCGAGGGGAGAGGTGGAGGAGAAGAGGGCGGAAGGGGGAGAGATGCCTGAGGATGGCCCTGTGCCAGCCATGCACTGGGACGTAGCAGGGGCAGCAGGGGCAGCAGGGGCAGGCGACACAGGCAGAGCCGGGGGAATGGGGGCGTGTGGCGGCAAGACCGAGTGGGGCGGCAGGGGCAAGGGCGGGCACAGAGGGGCGGGGGGGGCAGCGAGCACATGCGGCAGGGCGTGAGCGGGCGCCACATTTCTTGCGCCGTCCAGGTTGCTCCCCCTCCCCGCGGCGCGGTACAGCTCTGCCAGCGATGTGGCCCTCACCTGCCCGCGCACCACCGCCACCTGCCCCACCTGCACACCCCACGCTTCATCGTCCACGACCTCGTTAGCCGCGCTAACTTGCTCTGCTACCTCCGCCGAGCTGGCTGCTGCCTGTGCTGCGGCGGCCTCCCTCCTCTGCTGCACCTCTGCCTCGATCTGCCTCATGCCCCGCGCCCTCTCCTTCCCACTCCCACGCCTTGCCTTCCCAGTCTCACCAGCACCCACCCCTATGGCAGCAGCAGCAGCAGCAACAGCAGCGGCAGCAGCAGGGGTGGCGAGGGATGGTGGCGCTTCAGCCTGAGGTGGGGGGCTGGGCGGGGGGAGGAGGGGAGGAGTGGCTGCGGGCGCACTGCTGGTGGCGGAGGGTGAGGCCAGGGGGGTGGCAGCGGCAGTGGGGGGGAGGGAGGAGGGGGGCGTGGCGAGGGGGGGTTTGGCATTGGCATGGCGGCTGAAGCGCGTGAGGGCCGTGGCGGGGCGAGCGGGCACGTCCATGCTGCCCCCTGCCGCCCGCCTCCTGCCCGCCCTGCTGCCCCTGCCACTGCCGGCAGTGCTGCTGCTGTCACTGCTGCTGCCGGCATCGGTGGCAGGCGGGTGTGTGAGTGCGGCGTGCATGGTGGTGAGCTCCTGCCCCCCGTACGAGTGCCGCCTGCCCGCTGCCCTGCGCTGCGCCCTCTGGGGGGGCGAGAGGGGTTGAATGGAAGGGGAGGGTGGACGGGAAAGGATGAACGGAGAAGAGAGATGCAAACGGGAAAGCAAGCAGGATTGCAGAAGCGAAGAGATAGTAAAAACATCAGATGGGAAGGGGGGGAGGGAGAGCAACGGAAGGTGGACAGGCAATAAAGACATGGGGAGGTAGCAGCAGGGGTGGGAGTTGAGGAGGGCGTGAAGAATGGAAGTGCGATGGGCACGGACCAGAGCTGCCACCGATGGGGCAGCACGCTGGGTGCTGCTGGGCTCGGCTGACTCGACGGTGCCTGCATCAGCTGCGTCAGCGGGAGCAGCGGCAGCATCAGCATCAGCGGAATCTTCCCGGGCAGCTGCCGTTTGTGCTGCGTGCGGTGGTGGTGGCGGTGCAGTGGGGCCGGCGTGGAAGGCTGCAAGCTCAGTGCCGCCGTACGACTGCGAGCGGCGAGATGCCTTGCGGCGCTGCCTGGCCCCTGGGGCTGGCTGGAGGCGTGGAGACGGGAGGAGACGAGAGCAGAGCAGAGCAGAGCAGAGCAGAGCAGAGCAGAGCAGAGCAGAGCAGAGCAGAGCAGAGCAGAGCAGAGCAGAGCAGAGCAGAGCAGAGCAGAGCAGAGCAGAGCAGAGCAGAGCAGCGCAGCGCAGCGCAGAGCAGAGCAGAGCAGCGCAGAGCAGAGCAGAGCAGAGCAGAGCAGAGCAGAGCAGAGCAGAGCAGAGCAGAGCAGAGCAGAGCAGAGCAGAGCAGAGCAGAGCAGAGCAGAGCAGAGCAGAGCAGAGCAGAGCAGAGCAGCGCAGCGCAGAGCAGAGCAGAGCAGAGCAGAGCAGAGCAGAGCAGAGCAGAGCAGAGCAGAGCAGAGCAGAGCAGAGCAGAGCAGAGCAGAGCAGAGCAGAGCAGAGCAGAGCAGAGCAGAGCAGAGCAGAGCAGAGCAGAGCAGAGCAGAGCAGAGCAGAGCAGAGCAGAGCAGAGCAGAGCAGAGCAGAGCAGAGCAGAGCAGAGCAGAGCAGAGCAGAGCAGAGCAGAGCAGAGCAGAGCAGAGCAGAGCAGAGCAGAGCAGAGCAGAGCAGAGCAGAGCAGAGCAGAGCAGAGCAGAGCAGAGCAGAGCAGAGCAGAGCAGAGCAGAGCAGAGCAGAGCAGAGCAGAGCAGAGCAGAGCAGAGCAGAGCAGAGCAGCGCAGCGCAGCGCAGAGCAGAGCAGAGCAGAGCAGAGCAGAGCAGAGCAGAGCAGAGCAGAGCAGAGCAGAGCAGAGCAGAGCAGAGCAGAGCAGAGCAGAGCAGAGCAGAGCAGAGCAGAGCAGAGCAGAGCAGAGCAGAGCAGAGCAGAGCAGAGCAGAGCAGAGCAGAGCAGAGCAGAGCAGAGCAGAGCAGAGCAGAGCAGAGCAGAGCAGAGCAGAGCAGAGCAGAGCAGAGCAGAGCAGAGCAGAGCAGAGCAGAGCAGAGCAGAGCAGAGCAGAGCAGAGCAGAGCAGAGCAGAGCAGAGCAGAGCAGAGCAGAGCAGAGCAGAGCAGAGCAGAGCAGAGCAGAGCAGAGCAGAGCAGAGCAGAGCAGAGCAGAGCAGAGCAGAGCAGAGCAGAGCAGAGCAGAGCAGAGCAGAGCAGAGCAGAGCAGAGCAGAGCAGAGCAGAGCAGAGCAGAGCAGAGCAGAGCAGAGCAGAGCAGAGCAGAGCAGAGCAGAGCAGAGCAGAGCAGAGCAGAGCAGAGCAGAGCAGAGCAGAGCAGAGCAGAGCAGAGCAGAGCAGAGCAGAGCAGAGCAGAGCAGAGCAGAGCAGAGCAGACGGGGAGGACAAAGGAAGGGAGGGGAAGAAATGGAGTGGATGCCGAGGGGAGGGGAGGGGCAGTACCTGAGGGTGAGGGGAGGGCGCATGGGTGGCAGCAGCGAGGCGGAAGGCGCGAGTGGCAGACACGGCGGAGGAGGAGGAGGAAGGGGGCGCGGATGCTGCTGGTGACGCCAGCGGCGAGTGTGATGATGATGACGTCATGCATGCTAATGTGGATGCTGACGAGGCAGATGCTGACGTGGATGCCGAAGCTGACGTGGATGCAGAGGTTGCGGACGAGACAGAGGAGGTGCGCGAGGGCACAGGGGAAGCAGAGGCTGATGGAGGATGGGAGGGAGGTCGTGATGACGTGGATGAGGAAGATGCTGACTTGGCAGGCACTGAGGGAGTGGCAGAGACAGGTCTAGAATCGCCCACTGCCACGTCACTCGTTCCAGCGTCTCTTATCCGCACCTCCTCACCCACATCTGCCCCTGGCTCCCTCACTCCTCTCAACCCACTACTTGCGCCTGTTTTGCCACCTCTGCGCGACTGCCTCTGCTGCTTGCGTCTGCTCACATCGCCACTGCTCTGCACACCTTCTCCCTCTGCTGCCCCCCCGGCTGCTTCTCTCTCGTCCCTCTCCACCTCCCCACCATCCGCCTCTCTCACCGCTTCAGCCTGCCCGTGCTGCCACGGCCCATGCCCATGCCCATGGCCATGGGGCACCCCATGCGCGTCGCCCTGTGTGTGCGCGCCCCCCGCCCCCGGGGGCAGCGCGGGCAGGGCAGGGAAGTCAGAGTCGCCCAGCGATGACCCGGCGCTGCCTGATGATGGCACGGCGGGCGACACACACCCCGACGCCGGAGGCGAGGTGTGCACGTGCGAGGGGGCGGGCGTGCGGTGCAGAGCGGTGGAGGGCAGCAACGGCGAGGAGGCGTTGCGACGATGACCCCTGGGGGCTGCCAGGCTGGGAGGGGGGAACAGGGGCAGCATGGGCGGATAATGGCGGGCACAAGAGCACCCAAGGGCATGAGCGGCAGCGGGACAGTGGGGCATGGAGCGGAGCCTTGGAGGCTTGCTTTCCCATGGCTGCACTCCTTGCACCCACGGCTGCCCCCCGCATGGCTGTGACCCCCCGCATGGCTGTGACCCCCCGCATGGGGGGCATGGCTGTGGCAACACAACGGATTATGAACCACACAAACTGTGAGCCACACCTGCCGTGCCCACGCAGTCTCTGCCTCCTCACACTCTGCATTCAATTCACCCCTCTCCCCTGACCGTCCCTGTCTCACCCCGCTCTCCCCGCTGCCATCCTCTTCTCCCACCTCACCCCTCTCCACTCTCCCCACCCTGCACTGCCCCCATCACATGCACTGCCCCGCACCCAGCTACCTCTCCAATGCTACCGTACCATCAACCCCCCACCCCACGCCCACCCTCTCGCTTCAATGGCCATCACACCAACCCAGCACACTCCCTCCTTACGCCATGCTCCCATGCGCCCAAGCCCTTCCCCCATTCTCCCGTGCCCCTATGCCCATGCCCCCATGCGCCCATGCCCCGCACCCCTCCCCCCCCGGCATACATGAGGGCCTCCTCAGCGGCGGCCTCGCGGCTGAGCTTCTTCCCAACGCACTCCACGCTCACCACCAGCACCGCCCCCGCCGGCCTATCAGCAGCCGCCACGTCAGCCAGCATGGCGGGCCCGGGCGCCACCTTGAGGCGGCGCTCCACCGCCCCGTCGCAGTCCGCCAGCTCAGCCAGGTCCAGCTGCGCCCGCCCCAGAGGCTCGGGCCGAGCCTGGAAGGCAGGCTCGGATGGTGCATCGGGTGGGTGGCTCGGGTGGGCGGCGGCGGCAGGCAGCGCGTGGTGGAGCGTGAAGGTGGCGGCCTTGCGCAGGTAGGGCGCCGTGGGGGCCCCCCTCTCCCTGTACAGCGTCACCGGGATCTGCGCCCAGGGGGGGGGGGAGGAGGAAGGGCGGGCGGGAAAAGGGGGGGGAAAGGGGGGGGGAAAAGGGGGGGGGAGGGGGAAAAAAAAGGGGAACGGGAGGGGAAAAGGGGGAAAAGGGACGGGAAAGTGGGGGGGAAAAAGGGGAAAGGGGAGGAAAGAGGGAAAAGCAGGGATAGAGAGGCGAAAGGGGGGAAAGAGTGGGGAACAGGAAGATTGGGGGGGAATGGGGGGGTGGGGGTTGGTTGAGAGGGCGGGGAAGAAGAAGGATGGAAAGAGGGGGGTGTTAGAAAGGAGGGGAAGACGTTGGGAAAAGGGGAGGGGAGTGGGGGATGGAGAAGGAGAGGATGCGAATGCAAGGAGAAGTTGGTGGGAGGTGGGGTAGGTGGGAGGTGCATGCAGCGTGGGCGAGGGTGGAGAGGGGTTTGTTGCTGGCTGAGTGGGGGGGGCAGGTGTGACTGCCCGGTGCCACTCGCCCTCAAACGAGCCCCGTGCCCCCCATTGACCCTCCCGCTGTCCCTCCCGCTCCTCCTCCCGCTGCCCCTCCCGCTGCCCCTCCCACCGCCTCACCACGCCCCGCCATCCCACAACCCCACCCCCACTCCCTCCCCTCCTCCCCCCCTCTCCCCACGGGCGGGTGCACTCACAGCGTACCCGGAAGGTGTGGCTCAGCGGCACGTGGGGGCCAGCAGGGGGCCACACGGGCGCGGAGAGACCCGCGCGGCTGTCCCCGCGTTGCCAGCGGATGATGAGCGGGGGGGAGGCGCGCATCCACCCGCGCAGCTGCCGTGCATGGAAGGGCGGTTGGCGGGGGAAGGTGCAAGGAGGGGGGGGGGGGGGGGGGGTGGGTTGGGGGGGGGTTTGGAGCAGCGGAGAGAGGGGAAAGGGGATTGGAGCTGGCAGAGAGAGGCAGAGAGGGTGGGGAAGGGATGGGGCAAGGGGCGCGAGAGAGGGGGCCCACGGCGACGCATAGGAGTCAGCGGTGCGCGCGAGAGTGGCAGCAGGCAGGCGGATTAGCAAGTGCGCGGAGACGAGCGGAGCGCGCAGATGGAGGGAGCGGGGGGGGGCGGCGGGGGAGAGGAGGGGAGAAGGAGCCAAGGAACGAGAGGCGGAGCAGGACTCACCTCGACGAGCTGAATCTTGAACTCGAATCGCACCGCCACCAAATTCGCCTGCTCGATCTTGCCCGACCCTGATGACGTCAGCGTCTTCCTGCCGGCCGACGCCATTCCAGCTCCCGGCCGTCAAACTAACGGTTCAGCTGCCGGTCCGCCGGCTGCTCAGGCGAAACGCGATGAGGCCGCGGCAAAGTGGAGGCTCAAGGGCTGACGGGGCCCGTGGGCGGTATGCGCGAGTGGGATGCGGCGAGGCATGGGGAGGAGTGAGACGCGACAGCCTTGATCGCCATTGCACTGCTGATGGTCACACGCTCCAGCACAGCACGAGCCGTTGATGCGCGGCGGACGGGCGTCGCTGCACGGAGCGGGCTGGCCGCACCCGCGTGCTCCGCTAGCGATGGTCGGCCCGCGCGGTGCTGCGCACACCACGGCGGCGACGGCGACTCGACGACGACGACGGCAGCGGCGGCGGCGGCGGCGGCGGCGAGCAATTGTGGGGCGCTTCGAGCAGGCGGCGGTAATGTTGGTGCGCAGGTGATAAGGAGGCGATAGTCAGTAGCGCATCACACGGAGATGTGGGGAACGGTTGGCGAGAGAGTACAGGGAGTTGCAACGTGTAGCGCCAAAAGGTGGCGACAAGGCCCGAAAAGCTGATGGGTGTGGCGGCAGGGAGGAGGAGAACCCTGTGGCCGCCATACTCTAACCACTTGGGCTCTTGGCGAAGTGGCGTGGAACAAGACGTACGCGTTTCAACTGCAGCTATTAATGGTAGTGTTGAATGGTCTACGAGCCTTACAAACAATGTCCTCATTGCCGTGTTAAAAGCATGAATTACTCTGCCCAATGATAAACGCGGTACAAATCGCACATGAGCAGCTCACGCCCCGAACCCACTCTGTATGGGAACTACGGTAACCGTTTTCTAAGTGAAATGGATAACAATAAAAGAAATTGATAGCAATCTAAATACTGCGCATATTTACGGTAGATAAAACCCGATGTTAGCCTTGTCTAATCACACCTAAACACAATAATGTCAAATGTTGTAGCCTGTTGTGAGGTTTGTCTTAGGGAGTACAAAAGTTAGGGTTTGCCATATGTACCCCAACCAATTCTAACATGGTATCAGTTAGGTTAGGATCCTGTGGGATCCCGTTTCTCCGTTCTCCGATCGTACCACCCGAGCCTGATCCTAGCTCTCGTTTCGCCCGTCTTGCCCGAGCCTAGTGCCGGCCCGATCTAGTCCCGTTCGTTCGTTACCGCTCGTTCTTCCTCCCGATCTAGCGTAGCCCGATCTAGCGTAGCCCGATCTAGCGTACCGCTGCCGGTCGCGCTGCGCTTTCCCCCCCTGATGCCCGTCGAGGCGCGCTTCCCCCTGCTGCCCATCGAACCGCGCTTCCCCCCGCTGCTGTCGAACCGCGCTTTCCCCCCCCGCTGCCCGTCGAACCGCGCTTCCCCCCCCCCCGCTGCCCGTCCGTGCTTTCCCCCCCTGCCCGTCGACCCGCGCTTCCCCCCGCTGCCCGTCGACTCGCAATTCCCCCCGCTGCCCGTCGACCCGTGCTTCCAGCCCGCGCCCCAGCCCGTCGCCCTGGCCCGCGCTCTAGCCCGTCGCCCAGGCCCGCGCCCCAGCCCGTCGCCCCAGCGCGCGCCCTAGCCCGTCGCCCAGGCCCGCGCCCCAGCCCGTCGCCCTGGCCCGGCGCCTTTGCCCTACCCGCCCGGCGCCCCTGCCCTAGCCCGCTCGCACGCTCCTGCCCTAGCCCGCGCACTCCTACCCTAGACGCCCGCCATACCTGACCTACTTGCCCGCTCTTCCTGCCCGTTCTCCCTTGCCGCTGCGCCCTGCTTTCCCTGCCAATTCCGTTTGCACCAGGGCCCAAAATTGGTTTTGGAGCATCCTTGGGAATCAGGGTCCATTGCTGACGTCACCCTGTCAGCCAGTATACTTTTTTTTACACCCTATCAAAATCAGGGTAATTTTAATTATCTAAAATATCACCCTGGTTGTGTAAGGGTGAAATTTCCCTAAGTTACCACTCGAATGTTACATTCGGTCTGTTAGCTTGATGCGAAACCCTGCAGCGCCCTACAACACAAGCGAAAACATCGCGAAGGGTTGGGATTGGGTGAGGCGAGGAAGACGGGGGAAGAGGGGGTGGGAGATTTGGGGGAAATTTGGGAAGCGGGGCTGTGAGGTAAAGGGAAATGGGGGGAGTGGGGCAGAGGAGATGGGGGAAATGGGGCTGGGAGAGTCGAAGGAAACGTGGGAAGTGCGGCTGGGGGGAAGGTCCGAAGGAAAAGGAGGCTCGGGGAGGCAAAGGGAATGGGGCAAATTGGGTTGGCAGAGGCATCTGACGCTTGGGGAGCAGCGCAGGGCCGGCTTGGGAGAGGCGCGGAATGTGGGGTAGATTCAGGGTTAGAGATGCGATGCGACAAAAAACAGAGTTCAACAGTCCATCGCTTTCTGGTTCAGTACATTTTTTCCAGCACCCTGCTCGGTAAGGCTAAAATCCACAACACACTGGCAAAACCAGCCTATTCTATATGTGCACACTTATGCATAAAGGGTAACAAACAAAGTAGGCTTGCAAAATCAGGGCAACCTCTAAAAACTGGCCGCTGGCAAGTGTAATCAGTGTGTTTTACCCTTGAAAAATAGGCCCTGGTTTGCACACTATGGCGACCCCTTGCGTCCTTCGTTTCGATGCTGACGGTCGCCCGCTCGATTTCTCGGTCTGGCTTCTTCGCGCTCGCCGCCTGTTAGAGAGTCAGGTCCAGGCAGGCGAGACCCTCTGGGCGCACGCTACTGGTGCCCTCCCTGCGCCCCCCGACCCTACGCCTTTAGGCCCTGCTCCTGCCGACGCTGCTAGAGCCTTCTTTGCCACCCAGCGAGCTGATCAGACGGCTTGGACGTCGCGTGAGCTGCGGCCTGCATCGCGCTCAGTAGCCTCCTCCCTGAGTCTGAGGAGGTCCACTTCAGTCAGGTTCGCACCGCTGCTGAGTACCTCACTGCGATTAGGGCCCTCTACTCTACTCCCGCTACTGTCTCTCTTGGCCGTCTTTTCCTCCCGTTCCTGTTTCCTGATCTCGCCTCTTTTGAGCGCTCTGCTGACTTGATCGCTCACCTCCGCTCGCTCGACGCTAGTTACCGCGCTGCTTGCACTGAGGCACAGCTTGCACTGCTTCCTCCCCCCATGGCGATTACTATATATTTCATCGCCACTAGCCTCCCTGACCGCCTTGCCTCCGTACGTGACGCGCTCCTGCTGAAGCACCCTAGTGAGCTCACCGTCGAGGTCCTTGAGCAACCTTCGCTCGGTAGCCACTGCCTCTGGTGCTGTGCCCCCCCCCACTCTTCCACGGGTGCACAGTCCCGCAGTTACCCACCTTCACTGCCTCTCTTGCCACTGCCGCTACTGACGCGACTGCAGCTGCTGTTACGACTGCGTCGCGGTCCCGCGGCAGGGGGGGCAAGAAAGGTGGTTCTGGTGGAGGTGGTGGTAGAGGCGGAGGTAGCGGAGGTAGTGGGGGTGCTGTTGCGACTGGCGGTGGTGGGAGTGCAGGGCCTGGAGAGGCGTCTCGTGCAGCGACTGGTGACTCCACTGCGCCTGCTGGTGGTGGCGACGCCCGAGTTCGTCAGTCGCCTCCTGTACTGCCGGCCCCGCTAGGTGGAGCAGCGGCATGGTACCAGGCTCAGCGTCAGCAGCAGCTTCAGCAGCAGCAGCAGCCCCTCTCCTCCCAGCAGCCTCAGCAGCAGCAGCGGCAGCAGCTGGCTCCGGGGTCGGGGCTGCGTCAGCCCCAGCGTGGTGCGGCCTACCCTCCCTGCACCTATCAGGTTCTGACAGGTGCTCGTCAGGGCCACCCTTGTGGCCGCTTTCACCCCCCTGGTCAGTGCTTTGCTCAGCTCACTGACACGGTTCGTTTGGTCTACGGGGTTGGCGGTCCTGCCCTTGACTGGCTTCCTCTGGTTCAGCGCTACGGCTCCGCTCTGTGGGGCATGTCTGCTGAGCAGTTAGTTGATCTGATTGGTGCTCCTCATGCTATGTATGTTGTTGTTGACTCTAGTGTTTCTGACTCTGCTTACTCTGGTGTTGTTAGCTTAGGTGCTAGTCTTGCTCAGTTGCCTGTTGCTAGTGTAGGTTCTTGTGTAGACTCTAGACCAGCGGCTACCTCGGAGGACGCTTCGCTGTCATTCACGCTGGACTCTAGAGCCTCACACTGCTTCTTTCGTGACAGCACGACACTTACACCACTTCCTGCACCTGTTTCTGTGGCGTTGGCTGATCCCACTTCGGGACCAGTCACTGCGCGTCACACTACCACCTTGCCGTGTCCTGCTGCTCCCTCCGGGTCTCTCACTGGGTTTCACGTCCCCTCGTTCTCCCGGAACTTGGTTGGCGTGCGACCCCTCGTGAGTCAGCACGTGGGTGTGTGGTTTGAGCCTTCTGGAGAGACTGCGGTGTGTGTTGACGGAGACTCTTACCAGCCGCTGGCCACCTTTACTGCTGAGCCGGGCTCAGGTCTCTACACTCTTCACACTGGCCCGCGTGCGCAGCAGCAGCCGAGCAGCCGCCGCAGCAGCCGCAGCTACAGCTGCAGCAGCAGCAGCAGCAGCCGCAGCCGCAGCCGCAGCAGCAGCAGCAGCAGCAGCCGCCC